TTTCTTAAAAGGTATCACTGAAAGGCATTGAAATTCTAGTTTGACCAAATTTTGGGGGAATATGTGACATTTTTACCCTCCTTTTTGCAATATTTTATGGTAAATAAATGCAGAATGTTGCCATGGATACACAAAAAAGGAATATTATTTCACCATTTTAACTTTTAAAAATCAAATCTATGGAAGAAACTGATTACATACATATGCACATGTATAACACAAACAGTTAGGTTAATGTATTAGAAAGCCAGGAATAGAAGATGATAAAACATTTTGTGGTTCAATTTTAATGTTTTTTTCTAACTGTGGAGTGCTACCTTATGGCACATCAGAAAGCACAGAAATGCACTTTTTAAGATAAATTTTACCACAAATCTTTAGTCTGTTAGGTTCTTAATGTAGTTCTGAAGGGAAAAAAATTGCTAAGATTGCAATACATCTTAATTTTATTGTTTATTGTCCTTAGCAACCAACTATACACATTTTGACACTAAGACATGTTTCTGTCTTATATTTGTACTCCATTAGCTTCGCCCTTGTAACCAAAGATAGCCCTTTATATGATAGCCTCAGAATGTATTGCTTTATGTTTTTTAATGCGAATAAGTCAAATCAACATTTTTAGCAGGATTTTATATAATAATTTGGCATGAATGAAATTTAATGATGCCAGTACTGTTAGATATTTATACCCTGCTTGAGAGTTTCTAAAACAAGGTTTGGTATGCTATTTTCAGCAAAATTGACCTATAAATGCTTTCAAATACCTAAAAATTGTACAATTTTTCTTCTTTAAAGGTTATTTTATGATTTTAAACAGAAAAAAGGGAAAAGTTTTAGAAATTTACCCCAAAAATGTGACAGTCTTGAGGTTTTACACTTTGATCAAGCATTTTTTTTTTAAATGACTTTTTGTCGCGTTTTAACATCAAATGCTAACCTTCATAAAATCTTTATTACTGAACCAATTTTAAAAACTAAGGTACCATTTTAATCGTTACAGCTAGTAGAACACAGGACATGAATTTGAATTTGAGGTAGGGAAAAAAAATTTCATATTAAGGTAGCACTCCACAGTTAGGTGTGTAGTTTCGCATTTTGGCCCCTGTGGATTTTTCAAATATGATAGCTAGTGTAGAATAAAATTAATTTTTGGATAGCTGAAGATTAAAATAGCCTTCATAGTGGGTTTATAGGAACATCAAGATTATGTAATGTATGTAATATGGGCTGTTTTCTGTATGACAGTCCGTATTTTCATATCCATACCAAATATTGGTCCGGCAATTATTGTAATGTTTTTTTCCAACTTTTTGTCGCACGAACTTTGCAATTAAATTTTACGAAAAAATGAGGCGAAAGACACCCATTTTTTATTTGATCATTTGGTAGATTTATATTATCAGTTTCTTAAAAGGTATCACTGAAAGGCATTGAAATTCTAGTTTGACCAAATTTTGGGGGAATATGTGACATTTTTACCCTCCTTTTTGCAATATTTTATGGTAAATAAATGCAGAATGTTGCCATGGATACACAAAAAAGGAATATTATTTCACCATTTTAACTTTTAAAAATCAAATCTATGGAAGAAACTGATTACATACATATGCACATGTATAACACAAACAGTTAGGTTAATGTATTAGAAAGCCAGGAATAGAAGATGATAAAACATTTTGTGGTTCAATTTTAATGTTTTTTTCTAACTGTGGAGTGCTACCTTATGGCACATCAGAAAGCACAGAAATGCACTTTTTAAGATAAATTTTACCACAAATCTTTAGTCTGTTAGGTTCTTAATGTTGTTCTGAAGGGAAAAAAATTGCTAAGATTGCAATACATCTTAATTTTATTGTTTATTGTCCTTAGCAACCAACTATACACATTTTGACACTAAGACATGTTTCTGTCTTATATTTGTACTCCATTAGCTTCGCCCTTGTAACCAAAGATAGCCCTTTATATGATAGCCTCAGAATGTATTGCTTTATGTTTTTTAATGCGAATAAGTCAAATCAACATTTTTAGCAGGATTTTATATAATAATTTGGCATGAATGAAATTTAATGATGCCAGTACTGTTAGATATTTATACCCTGCTTGAGAGTTTCTAAAACAAGGTTTGGTATGCTATTTTCAGCAAAATTGACCTATAAATGCTTTCAAATACCTAAAAATTGTACAATTTTTCTTCTTTAAAGGTTATTTTATGATTTTAAACAGAAAAAAGGGAAAAGTTTTAGAAATTTACCCCAAAAATGTGACAGTCTTGAGGTTTTACACTTTGATCAAGCATTTTTTTTTAAATGACTTTTTGTCGCGTTTTAACATCAAATGCTAACCTTCATAAAATCTTTATTACTGAACCAATTTTAAAAACTAAGGTACCATTTTAATCGTTACAGCTATTAGAACACAGGACATGAATTTGAATTTGAGGTAGGGAAAAAAAATTTCATATTATGGCACATCAGAAAGCACAGAAATGCACTTTTTAAGATAAATTTTACCACAAATCTTTAGTCTGTTAGGTTCTTAATGTAGTTCTGAAGGGAAAAAAATTGCTAAGATTGCAATACATCTTAATTTTATTGTTTATTGTCCTTAGCAACCAACTATACACATTTTGACACTAAGACATGTTTCTGTCTTATATTTGTACTCCATTAGCTTCGCCCTTGTAACCAAAGATAGCCCTTTATATGATAGCCTCAGAATGTATTGCTTTATGTTTTTTAATGCGAATAAGTCAAATCAACATTTTTAGCAGGATTTTATATAATAATTTGGCATGAATGAAATTTAATGATGCCAGTACTGTTAGATATTTATACCCTGCTTGAGAGTTTCTAAAACAAGGTTTGGTATGCTATTTTCAGCAAAATTGACCTATAAATGCTTTCAAATACCTAAAAATTGTACAATTTTTCTTCTTTAAAGGTTATTTTATGATTTTAAACAGAAAAAAGGGAAAAGTTTTAGAAATTTACCCCAAAAATGTGACAGTCTTGAGGTTTTACACTTTGATCAAGCATTTTTTTTTAAATGACTTTTTGTCGCGTTTTAACATCAAATGCTAACCTTCATAAAATCTTTATTACTGAACCAATTTTAAAAACTAAGGTACCATTTTAATCGTTACAGCTAGTAGAACACAGGACATGAATTTGAATTTGAGGTAGGGAAAAAAAATTTCATATTAAGGTAGCACTCCACAGTTAGGTGTGTAGTTTCGCATTTTGGCCCCTGTGGATTTTTCAAATATGATAGCTAGTGTAGAATAAAATTAATTTTTGGATAGCTGAAGATTAAAATAGCCTTCATAGTGGGTTTATAGGAACATCAAGATTATGTAATGTATGTAATATGGGCTGTTTTCTGTATGACAGTCCGTATTTTCATATCCATACCAAATATTGGTCCGGCAATTATTGTAATGTTTTTTTTCCAACTTTTTGTCGCACGAACTTTGCAATTAAATTTTACGAAAAAATGAGGCGAAAGACACCCATTTTTTATTTGATCATTTGGTAGATTTATATCATCAGTTTCTTAAAAGGTATCACTGAAAGGCATTGAAATTCTAGTTTGACCAAATTTTGGGGGAATATGTGACATTTTTACCCTCCTTTTTGCAATATTTTATGGTAAATAAATGCAGAATGTTGCCATGGATACACAAAAAAGGAATATTATTTCACCATTTTAACTTTTAAAAATCAAATCTATGGAAGAAACTGATTACATACATATGCACATGTATAACACAAACAGTTAGGTTAATGTATTAGAAAGCCAGGAATAGAAGATGATAAAACATTTTGTGGTTCAATTTTAATGTTTTTTTCTAACTGTGGAGTGCTACCTTAATCAATGGACAATTGACAAACCCGGGAACAGATAAGACAAAAAAGGAGAAACAAACACATTCAACATTGAAAACTAAATACAGATGAAAAACACGGACCCAGAAAACAATGTGGCGACCTCCAGTGCTCCGGAAGGGTAAGTCCTGCTTCTTGCAAGACACCCGTAGTGTTTCTCACGAAGGTCACTCTCAAATCCAAGGAGAGGTTTCTACGACAACGGTAGAAGGTCATTTGGGACACAGATACCTCAAGTAAATTAATAGTCTTTTGGGAATACGAAATCAAACGGCCACTTTTAAGTCTTGACTTATAAGTAAGGGATATAAAACTAAGATGTTTTCAAGGTGATCGTATTGAGCATGTATTATTAGATGTTAATACAGCATGTAAGACTTAAAGTATAGTTAATATCCAGATCCAGGATTATTGATAGGGCCTAATTGCAAAAAAAAAAAAAAAACCAGAATATATATAACAGACCAGGACGAGACGAAAATAACAAAAAACAAAATGATCGATTGACTATGTAAATCCATCTTTAGAATTACGAAAAACTATTCTACAATGGTCAATTACACATAGGCCTACAAAATGAATGTACATATCATATCATCAATGATTTTTTTCACGCTTAAAAACTTTAAATTGAATTGTTATTTTTAGATGTTTTGTTTAGTATTTCTCAACCTATTAGTATTTTTTTAATGCAATTACGCTATTATTATCATGTTTTCTTGGCCATATTGACCGTGCGTCCAGGGGCAAATAGTTCACGCATTTAATGGCGGTCCCGCGATATACGAACTACTGCCTTTAAATTATCATTTAAGCAATTGTAGTTCTTCAAATTATTAATTAATCGAACAAAGCGTGTTATAGTTTAAATGATACACACCGCTATATATTTCATATTCGAAAAAAATATCTATACAAAATTTGGTACGAGTTGGAAAAGGTGCGAATTGACCTAGTCTATAACTTTTATTCAACATATTAGAAGAAACCCTACCTATATACCCCATGAAAGTAATACTTAATTATCTTTTACATTTGAATTTTAAAATAACTATTAATCATATACTTTTCACACTAGAGTTGGACTGCAAATTCATGAAAAGATATGTTGCACAATGATAGGAGGGACAAGAAGCGTTCTGATCCGTGTTTGCATTGATCGGAATATTAGCGGGAGATGTTCAGTTATAGAATCAGTATGTTTCTGGTTAAAGCTAATCCTGATATTTTCATTTCTGTGCAGTCTTCTGAAAAAGCATGAAGTAACAAGATAAAAGTGTTAGGGAAAGTCTTATGTATGATAACTATCGCCTGAGTATCGGAGTTCAGAGTTTGCCTTGGTACAAAGAAAGAGGGTTGGGGCCTTTACCATCGCATGCAAACAAGTGCTTGTGAATGGGACCACAGGTGCTTGGGGCATGGACCCCCTTTTTATGTGTTTTATACCTTTTAGTAAATTTAAGATTTTAAGGTGTATGACTGTCAATGAGTAAAATGTATGTATGCTCTGTATACGCATCCTTTCTTTAGGAGCACCACATGAACCTGGCTTAAGCACACTGTATCAGCACAGATTAATTTGAGCATTTGCCAACCAAGTTGCACAGTCTGGCCGTGACGGGTCTTACTTCCAAGATTTTATTATCCAATCATGGATCCTCAAGGGGCATACACACAAAATACAACGATTTTACAATGATTATCATATACATGTCATAGCATAACAAATTATCATGATTATTAAAGGCAAATTGGTTGTGCACAATTGTTTGTACTAAAAAGAGGCAAACAATATATTGTATATTACCCGAAAGTTAACCTCCCAAAAAACATGAATAAATGCAAAACCTTTGTCTTCAGATCAAAAATAAGCCATAGGCTTCTACAGACCCCTCATCAGACATAAACAATTAAACTTTTTCAGGTGTGCACAAGTTTGCATGAACTTATAAACTTATACAAGTTCCATTTCTCATAATTTGAAACCCAGTTATAAGCACTCAAAGACCTTGCCATTGATCAAGGTTAAATCTGACAATGTAATAAATAGAGAATATCATATGGCTTTTTCAATATCACATCCATATCAACCCGAGACACCAATATAATCCCAAGAGCTCTGCTCGAGGGATTGTATTGGTTGAGGGTTGATACTGTGTGTGATATTTAAAAAGCCATATCATATACACTTTATTATATACATATACCTCTCATAAATGTTATTTTTTAATGTGACATGACATCAAACTGATAAGGAGGTTTGAAATGACGTCATACAGATTATTGGTTTAACATGATGTCATACAGATTAGGGGTTTGATAAAGCCTTTGCAACAGTAATTGCAATCGATGACGTGACGTCATACAGATTAAAGGTGTGATAAAGCCTTTGTAACCGTGCTGATATCGATATCATCACAGGTGGCTGATACAGCATGCTTGCCAATGATTGTATTACACATACAATTTATCTGTACTTACTACTAAGTATATAATAAAACATACGAACACACTATATAGACCAAGTTGGGTATAATCTTTGAGATGCATCTCTCATGTAACAATTGTTTTGTATTGTATTGATTGATATGAACAATAGAAGGACAATAGATATCTACCCAACAAAAGGTGATTTCAAGGGTGTTACTGAATGGACAGTATCAAATGTAAATCAGACGTTTATTTATTTTTTCCTCTCCTGCAACTTTGGTGTCAGATGAAAAAAAAAATGCCAAACAAAATCAAAAAAAGTTTATAATTTTCTGAAACACAAAATGCATTAAACATTTTTAAAATGCTTTTTTAAATGAGGAAAATGAAGCATGCTTGGGAAATCACTCTTGAAAATAAGACCAGATTAAATTAGAAAAGCTGTTGTAATAGCTGAAATAAATGAAACAAGAGGTTCAAAATATTTTCATATTTGCCTGCAGACAAGTAAACAAAATGTATAATAAGTCTGTTATTTTATGCCTGATCTATGGTTGTAGTGGGGCATCATGTTGTCTGGTCTGTCTATTAAATAGTCTGTTTGCTACCAGGTTAAAGTTTTTGGTTAAATTAGTGATCACATCAACTTGAAATTTGGTATACTGGCTAATTATAATGTGAACTTTTTAACTAATGTACCAAATTATGATTTTGACCTGGTTTTCATGGTTCAATAGACATAGAAATGTGATAGTGTGAAATAAGAACATTCTTTCATGGATTTGTAGTCATGATAGTACTAGTATACAAATTCTTGATTTTCAGGTTAAAGTTTTTGTTTAAGTTGTTGACCATGAAGCTGTGGTAACATCAACTTGAAAATTAGTACACATATTTATTGTGAGTTGAACTTCAAAAATTAGATGCCAAATTAAGATTTTAACCCCAATTTCACGGTTTATAAAACATTGACATATGCTACTAAATAATCAGAGGCCAAAAAAAGTACCTAGAGAGTTAGAGAGAGACACACCTTGTTTTATTAAATTAGTTTTAATGAACATACATAAATCAGGTCGTTAGTTTACTCGTTTGAATTGTTTTACATTTGTCATTTCGGGGCCTATGCGGTATGGGTTTTACTCATTGTTGAAGGCCGTACAGAGACCTATAGTTGTTAATTTCTGTGTCATTTAGTCTCTTGTGGAGAGTTGTCTCATTGGCAATCATACCACATCTTCTTATTATGCCCCACCTACAAACCACCCATGTTTTTCGGTCTGTGCGTCCGTCCGTCCGTCTGTCCCGCTTCAGGTTAAAGTTTTTGGTCAAGGTAGTTTTTGATGAAGTTGAAGTCCAATCAACTTGAAACTTAGTACACATGTTCCCTATGATATGATCTTTCTAATTTTAATGCCAAATTAGGACCCCAATTTCACGGTCCACTGAACATAGAAAATATAGAAAATGATAGTGCGAGTGGGGCATCTGTGTACTATGGACACATTCTTGTTTTTATATTTGCTAACCTGGCCATCTCATATCTAAAGAAAATTATACATTATGTAAATCTTTTTTTCTAGGTTACAACCTCTAGTGTAAAGGACATATTAATTTGACCATGGCTATGGTTGAAAAGTATGATTTACTTTTTTCCCTTGGAAAATTTAACCAGTGCAATCACCTGATAGAAAAGAATACCACAAAGGAAGATAATATCCAGAATCAATGGATAGTTTCCTGTAATTTGATATCATCACAATTCATGTCAGTATGTAAAATTAAAATATACATTATTATATTTACACAGCTACTTTTACATATTATGTACTTTTCTAGTACTATTACCTCATAGTACTTCAAATGTTCTTAAATAATGTACAAATGTACCTCAAAATTATTATACTATTTTAGTACCACAAAAGAACAGTACTGTAAATTTGTGGTACTAAAATAGTATAATAATTTTGAGGTACATATACCAATACAGTACTTATATAATATTATTTAAGTAAATTTGCACTACTTCAAAATTTTAATACCTGTACTAAAAACATAAAAATGCTAAAGTTGCTGTGAATTTGTTAGTTCAGTTACAATTATATCAGTTTATTGATTATCTGTCCTTGAAAACTCAGTGATGCTACTATCCAATGATATCTGTTATAAAGATATATATGTACTTAGGCTACAGACAATTATCAAACATTATATACTGCTAAAGTTGTAGCTAGGAGTAGTCTTGATGATTCTGTAAACTATGAACTCTAAATTTAGAGTTAAACTTTGCCACCAATATTCAAGATGAAAAACAGTTTTCTGGAAATCTTTTATTTTTGCATTAAATGAAATTCTTTTTTAGACTTACCTAAAGAATGACAACATCAACAATGTGAAAACCAAACAGTGTCAACAGTATATTAAAGAACTACAAATTCTTATCAGCCAGATCAAAAGTAAGTCTGAGCTTTGACATTAACTAACATGTGTACATAAGATTTTGTTTTACATATTCAAGCATGTGTGTGTATTTATTTATTTGGTCAAAAACTACCATTGATTTAAGCTTATTTTCCTTAATACTCTCAGACTGATACAAAGTGAAACAAAAATAAAGAACTCTTTTTCTTTTCTCTTCACACATAATTTTCATATCAAACAAAGCATTCTGAGAGTATTGCATGGCAATACATAGTCCCCTACCAATTAAACATTCATTGTACTGAAACAAAATGCTAATTTGATCTATAACTTGTCATGGTGTAAACAATATAACAAATATCAAGTCAGTATCTTCAAGCATGACGAAAAAAAGTGTGGAAAACTGATTATTTAAGTGAATTTAAGTCTAAGGATCATAACTCTGCACAAAATCATCAGACTGGAACAAAATTCAAACTTGATCTGTAACTTGTCATGATAAAACTATATACCAATTTTTCAAATCAATATCTTCAAGCATGACGCAAATCAGTGTGGAGAACTGATTATTTGGGTGAATTTTCTAAGTCCAAGGACCATAACTCTGCACAAAATCATCAGAGAGGAACAAAATTTGAACTTGATCTGTAACTTAACATGATAAAACAATACACCAATTATCAAATAAATATCTTCAAGCACAAAGAAAAAAAGTGTGGAAAACTGATTTGCCGGACTGACAGATGAACAGACAGACATACAGACGGACGAAGTGCAAACCTAAAGTCCCCTTCGACTTGGTCGGTAGGGGACTAATAAATACCGGTACTGAACAACAAAATGTAATATGTACAAAGTACAAAGTTGTATTTGATAAATAAAAAGAAGAAAAAGCATCGAAGTGTAAACCTATCCCTCCTTTCCAATACATTATTTTTTTGTAAATACTTTGTTAAACATGTTTTTTTCATTTCTTCCTAGGTGCACCATTGAACATGTCACAGTTACAGCTTGAGTTATCCGTTCTTTATAATCTGTGTTTTATAAGAATACAAACAGAGAATGTAGGTTTCCTGTATGATGATCAATTTCTACAAATTATCAAAGAAACATTGATACGTGGTATGTATTCTTGTAAATGTATGTTAAATTAGGGCTATTCCATTCCATTTGACATTGGAGGGTAGACAGGAACTTACAAAATCCTGTAAAACTAACATATTAATTTTATGAACTTGATGATTTTTGTTTTTTGCCATGGTGTTGTCAGCATATTCTCAAAGAATGAACTTCGTTGTTGCCTTGGTCTGTTTCACATCTATTATTTATCTACTCATGTACAACAGTCTACTGATACACCCTTAAAACATAAAATTAATTCTCAATTCTAAAATCAGAAAACTTTTTGGTGTGATATTTTCCAAGGAAAATATTATACAATAGTGTATTAATAGTCTAAAATGCATTTAATTTCTTTTTGTTCTAGTTATTGGACAACAAGACTGGAGACATTGTAATGTACATCAAGATACAACAGAGTTACTGTTCCTGGCTTTACAGCAAGTACATGACGGTATGGAAGTGATATTTCTTTATTAGGTATCTCTGTTTTTTCTGAATGCAGCCTAGGATGACAAAGCTAGTTCAAATAGCACAGTGTCCTCCTCAAAATTTCATATAACATCAAGTTAACGAGGAAATTCGATTGATTGATTGATGTTTTCTTAGGATCCAGTGGCAAATATTTCATGCATGTTCAGGATGAAGGACATTTGAAATAGAATCTTATTCAATGAAGTAAAGTATCACTTGATAACATAATCTATAATAAAGCATGTTCAAATAGCATGACATTCAAACAATAAAGCAATCATTACCAAGGTCGCCGGACATTGGGCAAAGACCAGTAAATATTGGTATGGTCCAGTTAAGTGATATGCATTACTGGAACAAATGACCAGTAAAATTTTTAATTTTGTCAGAATCATATGTGTAAATGTCCTGTAAAGAAGAATCTGGTACAGTTAAGAAGAATGTTTTACTGGATCAAATGTCCAGTTGATTGCGCAAAGCCTTGAGAACTTCTGATAAAGCATCCCAAAAGAAATTGTGAAGAAAAAAAAATTAATGCTGAACAAAGGGGAATAACTCAAACTTAATTGAGTTGTGCTAACAAAAATCACTGTCAGTTGCTTTAAAATAATTTATATTTATTGTCAAGGTAAATTGGAACATTAATTTGACCTGTTATCATTATTGAATTAAGATTGTGAAAATAAGTCTAAACAAGTTTTTTTTTAGGAATACTAGATATTGTTCATTTCATTGACATCATGAATATCTTTAGTGGTGACTGATTTTGTTATATAACTTTAAAAATTTGACATTTTTTACCGTAATATTAACAAAACTGAAATCACAATTTATAATAACATTATTTAAATAAGTCTGTATGATTTATATCAGCTGGTTGGTAAAAGTAATTTTTCATCCTGTCTTTTGCCTGAATAAAATACTGTGTGGAGACAGTAGAGTGCCTCCCCGTGCTTCAGGTTTATGCTCTTATAATATACTAGATTATGGAGTGTGTGTCCGAGCGAGAACTTCTCTAGTTCATTACTTTAGGAATATTTATCAAAAAGTAGTATTTCAATATTCAGCCCCATTCTACTATTTAGTCAGACGTCAGTCGCTACCCTAATATACCCTTTCTTTTTCGGGTAATTAATACGGATAGCGTTTGACATCTTTAGCCGAACAGATTTATCATTTTTACATAATTTAATTCATTGTATGCTGGTTCATATTCTGGACGCCAGTCTTTGCTCCTTTCTAATATAATTCACAAACAAAAAACAAATATGAAGCTTAGAAATGGAAAAATATTAAATACTAAACTCGTTCAAAGGGTATCTACACGTCTCAATCTTCAAAATCGCTTATCTAAAAATACTACCATCGCTAACATTTTTAACAATAAAAATCGTGGTTACCCTTATATCGATAAGTGTCATGCCAAAAAATGACTTACATGTCCCCGTCTTTCCACCAACAATACGGTAAGGTCCACGTTTAATGGTCGCACATTTTCTTTAAATTTTGAAACTGATATAACTTGAAAAACAAACAGTATAATTTATTTACTCACATGAAACAAACCGGGATGCGGTATTCAGTACGTAGGTGAAACTGGACGATATTTATCTAAACGCACTCAAGAACATCTGTATCGTTTTAAAAGACCCAATAAATTCAAAAGTATCATTTATCAACACCTTAAGAAGCACAATCATCCTATTAAATATTTAGCAGTTCAACCTTTAGAAGTAGTAAATAAGCAGCCTGGTGAATCTCATTCAAAGTTTGTACGATCGCGGAAAATAATTGAATTAAATTGGATTAAAAAATTACAGACTGTCTACCCTCTCGGTCTTAATGATAATATCATGGGAATTGGTAATATATCAAGAACCGATTCTGTTAACATTTTGGATATAGTTTCTAAAACTGTTCGTAAAAACCGTTCTCATGGTCGTAGAAAAAATCGCAATCAAAGAAAATTTCGGACCAATCATACCAATATTTCGGACCTAATTTCTATTTCAAAAAACAACGGCAGACATTATCTGTTAACAAAGCTCTGTTCATTACCGGTTAATAAGTTAAATAAAATTTTAGAGGATTGCAACACAATTTCAAATAGCAGTCCTAAGTATGAAATCGTTCAAATTATAATGGCATATTGTTATTCTAAACTGTTTCCCAAAATTGATCGCCCTGAAGATCATAAAAAACAGTTTATTAAAATAAAGTATGTCAATAAAGGTTTTGATTTTGTAAATATTGCCGGTATTTTTAACGACCATTCTGTTAAAGAACAAATTCCGGGATATTTTGATAATACTGAGCTCCCTCTTATTTGTTATATTTACAAGAAATCTACCCGGAAATTTGTGTTTAATTATAGCCAATTGTGTAAAGATGTTAATATCAGTGAAAATACACCTACTTCATGTAATTGCAGTAATTCCGAATACATTTATGGACCCATTTCCCATGTTATAACAGGAGATCTTAACATCGTTCAAGACCGAGAGTTAAAATCATTCCTCAGTAAAGGACCTAAATATCGTCCCCCGTCAATTATTAATTGGAATGAGTGTCGTAATATCATCCACGACTCACTCCATACTTACTGTTTGAAATGGATAAAACGGGAAAAAGCTGACAAAAAATCTTTGGACTCTTTTTTTAAATCAGTAATGAACATAGTTGATATACGTATTCAACATTTTAAAGAACATTTTACTCTTAACAATAACCACAATAAACCTATTTCTCGTATCAAACATAAACTAAAAGAACTAGCCAAGGAATTTGTTTTTGTCCCGGCCGATAAAGCTGCTAATAATATTATTATTGTTTGACGTAAATTTTACATTGAGGTTCTGAAAAAAGAAATCACCAATTCACCAACATTCCAACTGACTCCATTTTCAGAAAACGACATCTGTAACAAACATAAACTTTTAGCTACCGCTTTACAAGCAGAACCAAATACAATGAAAGTCCCAACTATGTATTGGCTTCCGAAGCTACACAAAACACCTTACAAATATAGATTCATTTCGTCTTCAAGCCATTGTTCCACTACTAAATTGTCTATTCTTCTTACCAGTACACTTGGTACAATCAAAAACCTGATAATAAATTGTTCAAATAAGGCCTTCGAAAATAGTGGAATTAATTACTTTTGGAGTGTCAAGAACTCGTTGGAAGTACTTGATAAATTGCATGCATATATTGGTGATTTTGAATCTGTTCAAAGTTTTGATTTTTCTACCCTATATACCACATTGCCTCACATTCTCATTAAGAAAAAATTCACACACCTAATTAAATGGGCATTTAAAAAGTCAGAATGTGAATATATATGTTCAAACTCTTTTAGGTCATTTTTTAGTAGCAATAAACAAAAAAACTATGTCAATTGGACATGCTTTGATACTATATATGCCCTTGAATTTTTACTAGATAACATTTTTGTTCGCTTTGGAGATTCCGTATATCGTCAGGTTATCGGAATTCCAATGGGGACTAACTGTGCACCACTTATTGCGGACCTTTTTTTGTATTGCTATGAGTTACAATTTATGACAAAAATCAGTAAAGACCCATCGAAACAACATCTGATACACAAATTTAATAATACTTTTAGATATTTGGATGATATTTTGGCTCTCAATAATGACGACTTCAGTATGTATACTAAAGAAATTTATCCTGTTGAACTTACTTTAAATAAAGCTAATACTAACAATGACCACTGCCCTTTCCTCGATCTTGATATCTATATCATTAACGGAAAGCTTAATACTAAAATATATGATAAAAGAGATGATTTTTCATTTCCTATCGTTAATTATCCATTTTTAGATGGTGACGTTCCCTTGTCACCATCTTACGGTGTTTATATATCTCAACTTGTACGATTCGCTCGTGTATGTAACAATGTTTTAGATTTTAACGAGAGAAATGTATGTATTACTGAAAAATTATTACACCAGGGTTTTCGATATCACAAACTAGTCAAAACATTTACTAAATTTTATCATCGGTATAAGGACATCATTCGTAAATATAGCTCAACATGCAGACTTCTTATACGTTCAGGTATTTCACATCCAATTTTTTATGGAAATATTCTTTATAAAGCACAAAAATGTCAGTATTCACCTCTGAAACTAACAAAACCTTTAAATAGACTTATTAAGAAGGGATATAGTTACGATACTGTTGTCAGGTCATTAAAGATTGCATATTTTGGCGTTGATATTGATTCACTTATAAGGTCTTTGCATCTGCACTAAACACATTTATTTAAAAACCAGTTGTTGGCATGACACGGGTTATGTTCTTCTCATATATGTTATGATGGTATGATACTAAACCCCTAACGGGAAGGATTGTGCCTGATATTCATATGATGAAGACATAATCTTTCAATCAGTTTAATTGAAGTCTGGAGCTGGCATGTCAGTTAACTGCTAGTAGTCTGTTGTTATTTATGTATTATTGTCATTTTGTTTATTTTCTTTGGTTACATCTTCTGACATCAGACTCGGACTTCTCTTGAACTGAATTTTAATGTGCGTATTGTTATGCGTTTACTTTTCTACATTGGCTAGAGGTATAGGGGGAGGGTTGAGATCTCATAAACATGTTTAACCCCGCCGCATTTTTGCGCCTGTCCCAAGTCAGGAGCCTCTAGCCTTTGTTAGTCTTGTATTATTTTTAATTTTAGTTTCTTGTGTACAATTTGGAGTTTAGTATGACGTTCATTATCACTGAACTAGTATATATATTTGTTTAGGGGCCAGCTGAAGGACGCCTCCGGGTGCGGGAATTTCTCGCTGCATTGAAGACCTGTTGGTGGCCTTCTGCTGTTGTCTGTTCTGTGGTCGGGTTGTTGTCTCTTTGACACATTCCCCATTTCCATTCTCAATTTTATTTTATTGGTAACTTAGATATATATGTAATATGACTCGTTTCGAAGCTGAGACATTTATACATATTTTGCCGCTTTGAATAGGAACATGGATAATTTTTTCATATCTGATATGATATCAGGATATTCAAAGTGTTGCTTTAATCAGAACTTTTGAAAACTGTGAAGGATATTTAAGGTATTTGGTATGCTTGTTACCCACCATCAGATGGCGTGTTGAAATGTTGTTTTTTTTCAATGGTAAAAATCCACACAAATCAAATGTATCATTTTGTAAGATTCACTTATATTGCACAGTTTTTAAACTGTCTGCCTTTAAAAACAGATGAAATGTAATTATGTTGTAGAATGTAACATGATTTTTTTTCTATTTAGACAGAATTTTGTCACCATTAGTAAGTCTTTGTTGTTTATGGACAGTGATAAACTGCAGACAGACCAAGACAGACAGTGTGATGCAGTTAGTTGATAAATGTTTGTCTCTACATGGTTTAAAGGTATTATTAAATGAGACGTTACAATTAATATTCTGAATTGTGCAAAATATAGAAAAAAATTCAGTACTCAACAAGGGTTCTGAAATTTGTTCACATAGTTTCAGTCATTTCTCAAACTGTTTAATGCATACTAGATTCACGACATCAACGGAATTGTATTGAGGATTATACTGCATTTACTTCAGGAAATTCTTACTGTTTTTGTCTCGCCTTGACCGAGTCAAAAAGCGAGACATAGGTATGCTGTTTCCGGCGTCAGCAGGGACGGCGGCGTCAGCAATGTATTAGTTTGTGATTAGGTCTAGTTCATGGTGAACCACTAGTGGTAGGTCAATGATATTTTGTATGCAGTTGTATTAGCATTGGCACATCTCATTACCATGGAGGTTAATTTGCCCCGCCCCCTCAGTCAAGGTCTATTGACTTTGAAATTTTGATTAGTTTACATGTATTAGTTTTGTGATTAGTTCAGTTTATGGGGAACCACTAGTGGTAGGTCAATGATATTTGGTATGCAGTTGTATAAGCATTGGCACATCTCATTACCATGGAGAATATTTTGCCCCGCCCCCTCAGTCAAGGTCTATTGACTTTGAAACTTTGCTTAGTTTACATGTATTAGTTTGTGATTAGGTCTAGTTCATGGTGAACCACCAGTGGTTGGTCAATGATATTTGATATGCAGTTGTATTAGTATTGACACATCTCATTACCATGGAGATTATTTTGGACCGCCCCCTCAGTCAAGGTCTATTGACTTTGAAACTTTTGCTTAGTTTTCATGTATTAGTTTGTGATTAGGTCAGTTTAAGGGGAACTGTTAGTGGTAGGTCAATGATAATTGGTATGTAGTTGTATAAGCATTGGAATATCTCATTTCCATGGAGATTATTTGGCACCGCCCCCTCAGTCAAGGTCTATTGACTTTGAAACTTTTGCTTCTTTTTCATGTATTAGTTTGTGATTAGGTCAGTTTAAGGGGAACTGTTAGTGGTAGGTCAATGAAAATTGGTATGTAGGTGTATAAGCATTGGCATATCTCATTTCCATGGAGATTATTTGGCCCCGCCCCCTCATTCATGGTCTATTGACTTTGAAACTTTTGCTTAGTTTTCATATATTAGTTTGTGATTAGGTAAGTTTAAGGGGAACTGTTAGTGGTAGGTCGATGATAATTTGTATGCAGTTGTATAAGCATAAGCACATCTCATTTCCATGGAGAATATTTGGTCCTTACCCCTCAGTCATGGTTTATTGACTTTGAAACTTTTGCTTAGTTTACATGTATTAGTTTGTGATTAGGTCAGTTTAAGATGAACCACTAATTTTAGGTCAATGATATTCAGTATGCAAATGTATTGGCATTTGCAAGTTTCATTTCCATGGAGATTATAACACCCCACCCCCTAATTATGGTTCATTGACTTTGAAACTTTTACATAGTTTACAAGTTACTGTTTGTGTTTAGGTTTGTTTAAAGGGAACGACTTATGAAAAGTCAATGGTATTTGGTTTGCAGTTGTATTAGCATTGGCACATCTCATTTCCATGGAGATTGTTTAGCCCTGTACCTTCAGTCATGGTTCATTGACTTTGAATATTTGCATAACTTGCATGTTTAAGTATTGCTATTTTAATTTCAACATTTGCATTATCAAAATAACAAATAGGCAAGACATATCTCTGTGTTAATAGTTTATTTCAACAAATGATCAAGAATGTCTTATGGAATGCAACAGTTTAGATTTGAAATGTTTTAATGTCTTAAAACTGTGAATTTCACAGGAATCTACCATGTTACTTTAGATTTTGTGAAACTAAATAAAAAGCAGAAGTTTGAAATTAATCATAAATTATGGATGATGCTGTATTCATCTTCGTGGTTTGATCTGTTTATCCCATGGCAGGTAATCGTTGTTTTCTTATTTTATTACCTGCGAGAACTTTTGAATATATCTGGTAATTGTTTCACTCTTTTAATTTGGCAAGAATTAGAAATCATTTTTCATTTTTAGACTTAGTGTCTAATCTGGTGAAGAAACTTGCATGCATTAGTATTACATAGTAAATAAAGCACAAGTTTGACTCATGAAAAATCTTTTTTTTTCTAGTATAAATTGAATAAAAGTTTTAATTTTTAACCGGATTTTCTAAGGAAAAATCGGTTATTGATTTGGGGATGTACGGCAGGTGGGCGGGCGGGCAGGCGGGCGGCTGCCAAACAGTGTCCGTTCATTTACATGCAAACTCTTTGACAAATTTTTTTCAAATTTTGATATGTTTTTTCCTGTGACTAAATGAAGGTCAAGTTCAATTTTCACGATTTTAGCTTCTCTCGTTTTTGAGTTTTCGACTTTTTAGAAGTCCAAATATATACTTATTATATGATTAAGTTATTTCCCTTTGAACAGAAATTGTGATTTGCAAATATCATTTTCATTAGATAATAATCTATTTTTATTAAAGAATATTTTTCATTACATTACATTGTGTAGATAAAATTGTTGACATTGATAGATAAGTTGCAGATCTATATTAGTTTGTGACAAATGAAAGAAAAAATATTGGGAACTATTAATTATATATATAAAGTTTGATTACACTAAGTGTTTTTAAATAATTTTCACCTGTTATTAGATAACAAAACATCTGGTAAATATCTTATCACACAATTATAATTGGAGTGACAGATTTATTTGAAAATTTTCTATTTCCTAAGTGTTGATGATAAGATCTGTAGGACAGTATAAATAAAGTTTGAAATTTACTGTTCATTATTAGACATTTTGAAGATAATTACAGATAAGTTTTATAGATTTTTAATAGATATTGTATTAATGATAAATGACATTTTGGATTTTTTTTCATCTTTTCTTTTGTAAATTGTTTGAAGAATTTTGTGGTTGGTTTGTTTGTTATTCTGTATTAACTTATTTTCTGAATGCAATATATATATTTTTTTTGATGAAGCAAACTCCTTTAAAAACTAAGCTTAGTTTGTCTATTAATAAACATGTATTTAGATTTCTGATTTTGGGCCCAGTTTTCAAGTTGGTCCAAATGGGGGTCCAAAATTATACTGTGTTTGATTTCAACATAAATTGAATATATATAGGGTTCTTTGAAAAGCTGAATCTAAACCTGTATTTATTTTCATTATTAATTAGATAATACCCCATTGAGGTCCAAAGGGTCCTAAATTAAACTTTCAAAAATTGAATTCTTGGGGTTCTTTGATATGCTTATGATAACAGTGTTATTAGATTTTGGATATTGGACCATAATGGGTAAATTTCCGATTTCAAATTTTTCAGTTCTTTGACCACATTCATTTTGAGTCACAAACCTATACTGTGTCAAATATTCAATCACAATCCAAATTCAGAGCTGTTTTAAGCTTAAATGTTGTGTCCATACTTGCTTAACTGTTCAGGGTTCGACCTCTGCAGGAAAATCCGGTTTGCTGTCACTCTGACAGCCTCTTGTTAAATTTAAATTGCTGATGGTCTTTGCTGAAATGTTATTAAACAATTTAGAATATAGCAAAGTGCTCTCAACCAATGAAATTGTAGGATTTTATGCTTCTTAATTGTGAAGAATAAATGTAAATCATGTTCTTAGTAAGGGATTATCCTATTGTTTAGGCCTATTTACAGTTCAAAACAAAGAGTTTCTATAAATGAGTTACAACTGCCACGAAGCACATTTATCAGCTTGAAAGGATTTGTGATTGAAACTGACAAACTGACTAATAAAACTTTAATTATGAAAAAAAATAAATAAATAAATAAATAATTAGAATATTTTAAAATAACTTCAAATTACTAAAAATTAAATTATACCAAAGCAATGCAAAAAAAGTTAAAAAAAAAAAGTTTTGAAATTAAATATAACCTAAATATTTAGCTAATATGCTTGCCAAAACTCAGATTTCTGGATCCGCAGTTGTTAAAAAAACTTATTTCCAATATTCTGATAAAAATAAAGGAATTTCATTTAACTTTTGAATACATTTAAAACTTTTAAAGGCATTTCGTTCGAACATGTCCTGACATAATGAAGTAGCATTTGATGTAAAGAGATGGACTGTGAAATAAAATTAAGCTTGAACTCAAATTTTGAATTTATTGATTTGAACTGTAAACAAACAAAAAGATAATACCTCACTAAAACATTACATCAATAACATTCATACTCACAATCATGAAACTTACCATTTCATTGTACTGTTGTGTCATCTAGTGCCTAAAACACAATGATCGAGTTATATATATTATCCAAAATCATAAGAAAGTCCTTACATCAACTAATTCATAAATGAAATAAATAAAAAGGAAGTCATGCATTTCCCAAAAACATTGCACTAACAATGGAACTAATTATTGAATACAATGTACAACCAATCAAGAGATCATTTGAGCCTTGAGCACTTTACAATATTCTAATAAAATTGAGAATGGAAATGGGGAATGTGTCAAAGAGACAACAACCCGACCATAGAGCAGACAACAGCCGAAGGCCACCAATGGGTCTTCAATGCAGCGAGAAACTCCCGCACCCGGAGGCGTCCTTCAGCTGGCCCCTAAACAAATATGTATACTAGTTCAGTGATAATGGACGTCATACTAAACTCCAAATTATACACAAGAAACTAAAATTAAAAATGATACAAGACTAACAAAGGCCAGAGGCTCCTGACTTGGGACAGGTGCAAAAATGCGGCTGGGTTAAACATGTTTTTTGAAAGTTTGTAAAAGAATGATAATCCCTTTCATCATGATAAGTACTCGCTAACACTCATACTTAATCATGAAGAAAGTGATTATTAAATTTAACATTCTCTTACATATACAAAGTAACTTGTCATGGAATAGAATTACTTAACAATATTGGTTACAAGCTTGATTGCTACTGTCAGGAGTGAAAAACACAGGTAAAAGGTGATTAGCAATCATTGTCCCATCATTAGCCAATATTTCTCAGAGGCATTACTATGGTTATTAGGATTATCAAACTTTACTGGAGTGGTAATTTTTTTTTTACTGGAAAAGCATTTTAAAAACAAAAACTAGTGCAAATGGCAATAAAAAAACCCAATCTCAATGAAATAACAGCAATTATTTCTGTAGAATAAACATTTTGTGACCTAAATCCCAGTCTACCATTTCAGTCATTGACCTTTCAGATTAGGTCATGTCTGGCAAATATGACTGTTTCTGGATACTTGGTACTAAACCTTATCTATTTAATGATGTGATTTTGCGTTTTGTTTGAAATATTTTTGTCAGATTAACTCAAGTCAAACAATCAAATAATATAATTATTTTCAAGTGACTTCAAATACTTGTATGATTTTTATACGACTGCAAAAAAATTTTGTGGTCGTATATTGGTATGACGTTGGCGTCGTCGTCGTCCGGCGTCGTTGTCCGAAGACACATTGGTTTTCGCACTCTAACTTAAGTTTAAGTGAATGGATCTCTATGAAATTTTACCATAAGGTTCAATACCACAAAAGGAAGGTGGGGATTGATTTTGGGGGTTATGGTACCAACAGTTAAGGAATTAGGGGCCAAAAAGGGGCCAAAAATAAGCATTTTTGTAACTTCCAGACATAACTTGTGTGTTAGTGTATGGATCTCTCTGACATTGTACCACAAGGTTCCATATCACAAAGGGAATGCTGGGATTGATTTTGGGGGTAATTGCCTCCAAATTTTAGGAATTGGGGGCCAAAAAGGGGAAAAAAACAAGCATTTTTCTAGTTTCATGACAATAACTTGTGTGTAAATGTATGGATCTCTCTGACATTGTACCATAAGGTTCCACATCACAAAGGGAATGCTGGGATTGATTTTGAGGGTAATTGCCTCCAAATTTTAGGAATTAGGGGCCAAAAAGGGGAAAAAAACAAGCATTTTTCTAGTTTCATGACAATAACTTGTGTGTAAATGTATGGATCTCTCTGACATTGTACCATAAGGTTCCACATCACAAAGGGAAAGCTGGGATTGATTTTGAGGGTAATTGCCTCCAAATTTTAGGAATTAGGGGCCAAAAAGGGGCCAAAAATAAGCATTTTTATAGTTTCCAGACAATAACTTGTGTTCAAGTGTATGGATCTCTCTGAAATTGTACTGCAAGGTACCAAACCACAAAGGGAAGGCTGGAATTGATTTTGGGGGTAATTCCCTAGAAATTTGAGGAATTAGGGGCCATAAAGGGGCAAAAAAACAAGCATTTTTCTAGTTTCAGGACAATAACTTGTGTGTAAGTGCATGGATCTTTATGAAATTGTACTGCAAGGTTCCATATCACAAAGGGAAAGCTGGGTTTGAGTTTGGGGGTAATTGCCCTAAATGTTTAGGAATTTGGGGCCAAAAAACAAGCATTTTTGTCGAGCCTTCGACTTTAGTCGAAAAAGCGAGACATAGCGATCCTACATTCCGTCGGCGTCGGCGGCGTCCACAAATATTCACTCTGTGGTTAAAGTTTTTGAAATTTTAATAACTTTCTTAAACTATCCTGGATTTCTACCAAACTTGGACAGAAGCTTGTTTATGATCATAAGATAGTATCCAGAAGTAAATTTTGTAAAAATAAAATTCCTGTTTTTCCGTATTTTACTTGTAAATGGACTTAGTTTTTCTGTCAGGAAACATTACATTCACTCTGTGGTTAAAGTTTTTAAAATTTTAATAACTTTCTTTAATTATCCTGGATTTGTACCAAACTTGGACAGAAGCTTGTTTATGATCATAAGATAGTATCCAGAAGTAAATTTGTTAAAAAAAATATTTCATTTTTTCCGTATTTTACTTATAAATGGACTTAGTTTTTCTGCCAGTAAACAATACATTCACTCTGTGGTTAAAGTTTTTAAAATTTTAATAACTTTCTTAAACTATCCTGGATTTGTACCAAACTTGGACAGAAGCTTGTTTATGATCATTAGATAGTATCCAGAAGTAAATTTGTTAAAAAAAAAATTTCATTTTTTCCGTATTTTACTTATAAATGGACTTAGTTTTTCTGCCAGGAAACAATATTTTCACTCTGGTTAAAGTTTTTAAAATTTTAATAACTTTCTTAAACTATCCTGGATTTGTACCAAATTTGGACAGAAGCTTGTTTATGACCAAAAGCTAGTATCTAGAAGGAAATTTTGTTAAAATTTGTACCTGTTTATCCGTATTTTACTTATAAATGGACTTAGTTTTTCATCCAGTTAACATTAAATACAGTCTGCAGTTAAAGTTTTTAAAACATTTATTAGATTCATAAACTATCCTGGATTTATACCAAACTTTGACAGAAGCTTCTTACAATCAAAAGATAGTATCTAAAGGAGTATTTTTATTGATTTTTTTTTCCTCATTTTTGTTGAGCCTGCGATTAACAGCAAATGTAGGCGAGACACTGGGTTCCGCAACTTCCGCGGAACCCTTACGAATTTTTCTTGTTTCCAGACAATAACTTGTGTTCAAGTGTATGGATCTCTCTGAAATTGTACAGTTCATACATGTGAACCTCCCGACGGGAGTACAATAATCCCTTTTCAGGGGTCTCCTCACGACCTCCCGTTGAAGACAAAAAAATCCCGTGCATGAAATATTTCATGAATGAAAAATTTCAGCCCAACATATCTGGTGTAACTGACATTACTGAAGTTATATTTTACCTGTAAATCAATTATCATGCATAATTATATGGCCTCACTTGTCACCTTGGGTGTCAAACAAACTGGTATTAAACGATTTTTACCTCAGGCTAACTGCCGTTGTGTAATAAAACTTTGTTTATTTAAAATGAATGTTGGGTTACTTCCCTTGATTTATCCTGTTTTAAGTTACTTTCCTTTAAATAATGTAAATTTTTAAAAGAATATAAATAAAATATAAATTGAACAAATAATCATAAAAGGATGGTAATTAAATGATTTTAAATGTTTTAGGACAAATAAAAAAATAATAATTTGAAAATTATTTGAGGGTTCTATACTTCCTTTCAAGGCTTAAATTGAAATTTATATAATTACTATGACCCATTATACTGTTTGAACATTACATTACAATCCATTCAGTCACGTCTCAGTCATTACAACTGAACGGACGTGCTGGGTCAGCTCTCCTTTACCCGCTATCTTCGATGAGGGTTTACTGTAACATGGATCAATGACTTACTACTTTCGATGACAGAAACCAATCCAACGCTGTACAGACTACGTTAGGCTATAATCCGCGTAGGGCTAATTCCCGCGTCAACATACACTCCAAAACCCATTATGGATGGGGGAGTGGTATGCCGAGTGACGTCCGAGGGCTGTATCCTAGGTGTTAGATGATGGACCACCATTTCACTGTCTCACGACTTTGGTCCTGATAATGCTTCCTGTCATCGTTAATACTACGTCCGAGACTCATCTACCAGTACTCCATCATCGATGTTAGCGGGCTGCCAAGCTGACCAATCTGGCCCTGAAAGCAGCCGTTGTGAAGACATAACATCAAAATAGTCAACAAAAGAAAAACCAAAACAACTCATAAAACCAAGATGGCGGCCTACCAAAATGGCGTCCTCCACCTGTTCCTGACCGATGGCACAAAATATTTAAACGCTCACCAAATGCCTGCGGGCACCGAGCCGACCGTGCAAGGGCTGTATAGCCAGTCAAGGTCGTTAAAAACTTCCATTTGTTGTACTGTTTGAATGTGTTACTTATCATGCATTAAAAATCTACTTGCATAAAGATAAAAATAAAAGATCTATTTGCAGATAGATAAGCAAGTGTTCTGATTGCAATGAATAATGGTAAAAAAGATATGACCTAAAAAATTTAAAGAACATACTGAAAAAGAAGAATGTTAGATTGAACAAGTTGAAAGTTTAAAAAGATAGAGAAAATTTATAAGTACAAAGGTACTATAAACATAATACATTCGGATGGAAAGTTGAAGAAAACACACTTTAACAGACAATTTCTACAGCACACGGTTACATTTACGACAGAATTTATGTCGATTAAAAACATCCTGATCTGAGTCCTAATCTCCAAAACTCCTGATCTTAGTTTCACAGTCCATCACATGTATGTGTACTGCAAGGAACCATACCACAAAGGGAAGGCTGGGATTGAGTTTGGGGGTGATGAATCATAAGGGGGTTCAAAAAAGTTGGGGGGGGGGGGGTTTTTTCCTTTTTTTCTTTAAAATTTTCCATTTTAAATTGGTTATTTCTGATTTATATATAAAAGCAAATAATAATGATATGGTTTGAATAGATAAATTAAAAATTTTTAAGTTCTTAGACCACATTTATTCTGTGTCAGAAACCTATGCTGTGTCAAATATTTAATTACAATCCAAATTCAGTGCTGTATCAAGCTTGAATGTTGTGTCCATACTTGCCCCAACTGTTCAGGGTTCGACCTCTGCGGTCGTATCAAGCTGCGCCCCAGCGGAGCATTTTATTTTCCTTTATTATATATTTCTTTTTTTATTTCAGAACTTAGAGTTACCTCCCATAACCCTCCTTCCTCTGTCACTAATACTGACAGGACAACACTATTTTGACACACCATCAGTGACTGACATAGTCTACATGACAGCTGGCATGGCTTACTTCAGAAGGGATGACCAGAAAGCTAAGGAGTATCTAAATCAAGTCGAATTACCAGAGTTCAAAGGATATACAGCATATCTTATAGGTAATTGTTCCTATCAGAGGTGTTCCATAATCAATCATGGTGGGGGTATGGGAGGTTCTCAAATTAATTAATTGTAGGTGCTTACATTTTCCTTAGAATTTTTAAGTACAATAAGTAAAATTAACATTTTACATTATGGGTGTTTGGGGGCACCCACTTCTTTAAAAAGTGCCTCTCATGCTCCCCACACATGTTTAATTCTGGATCAACCTTCAGTTTAAAGGGTTCATTTTTTATTGTAAAACACAATCAAAAGAGTGATTTTTTAACTTAATGTGTGTACTGTGAGTATACCTCAAAAGACATGGTTTTTATACGACGGCAAAAAAATTTTGCGTTCGTTTATTGGTATGACGTTGGTGTCGTCGTCGTCCGAAGACACATTGGTTTTCGCACTCTAACTTTAGTTTGAGTGAATGGATCTCTATGAAATTTTACCATAAGGTTCAATACCACAAAAGGAAGGTTGGGATTGATTTTGGGGGTTATGGTAACAACAGTTAAGGAATGAGGGGCCAAAAATAAGCATTTTTGTAACTTCCAGACATAACTTGTGTGTTAGTGTATGGATCTCTCTGACATTGTACCACAAGGTTCCATAACTCAAAGGGAATGCTGGGATTGATTTTGGGGGTAATTGCCTCAAAATTATAGGAATTAGGGGCCAAAAAAGGGGAAAAAAACAAGCATTTTTCTAGTTTCAGGACAATAACTTGTGTGTAAGTGTATGGATCTTTCTGAAATTGTACTACAAGGTTCCATATCACAAAGGGAAAGCTGGAATTGAGTTTGGGGGTAATTGTCTCAAAATTTTAGGAATTAGGGGCCAAAAAGGGGCAAAAAACAAGCATTTTTCTAGTTTCAGGACAAAAACTTGTGTGTAAGTGTATGGATCTTTATGAAATTGTACTACAAGGTTCCATATCACAAAGGGAAAGCTGGGTTTGAGTTTCGGGGTAATTGCCCTAAATGTTTAGGAATTTGGGGCCATAAAGGGGCCTAAAAACAAGCATTTTTCTAGTTTCCAGACAATAACTTGTGTTCAAGTGTATGGATCTCTCTGAAATTGTACTGCAAGGTACCATACCACAAAGGGAAGGCTGGGATTGAGTTTGGGGAGCATTTTATTGATTAGATAATTCTAGTAGTAAACTGTCGCATTTAGATGAAGGTCATATTCTAATTCAACAGGAGAGATAACATTAAAATGTATGTGTTTACCTAATACCGTAAATTGGGAAATTTTGTCGTCAGGATATTTTGGCGGTTTTCTCTCGAAAGTCATGTGTTTTATTTTGGTGTGTGTAATTTTGGTGCTTCGTCCAAATGATATGTTTAATTTTGGAACAACAGTAGTGAGCAAGCGCAATCATATTTGCCTTTATTTACCTGTTTATTGACAAAATATCATTGAATTTCTCAAACTAGAAACACGACAAAGTTAACTTAGTGAAGGAATCGGATACGATTGCAATCACAAATAATTCCGTTTATCGTGGTTCCAAGCCGAAAGAAAATATGAAATAAAATCTTAAACATTAAAATCACTTTTTAAATAGATTATTTATTTTTTACAATTGCAGTACATGTTAATCTGTTGACGATCAAGGATTTAAATTTTATATCTATGCCTCTGACAGTACTTGTTAATTAATTGAAGATAAAGGATTACACGGAGTTTTGATATTCTAATCACCAATAACGGCATCTAATCAGCAATAGCCTGGCATATTTATGACATGTGTGAATAAAAATTCATGTGGTGTTTTCTTAACAATTTCAGAAAATTGACAATTAAGTAAAAATTATATAGTGTTGTTGTCAAATTATACCAGGTATTTATTTGCAGATTTGGCAATGTATAGAATTGTAGGAAATATACAGAAGATATAATAACATAAAATATTTTACCCAACAATTAACATTACGATATTGTTGTACCGGTACACGATTTTGGCATTTCAATTTTTAGTGTTTGCTTTATTTTCCTGTGTTTAATTTTGGCACTTTCATTGGAGGCACCAAATAAACCAAAATAAAACTACAACCAAAATAACCCAATTTACGGTACATAGACATAAATCAATACACATCAATGATGTGTTTTTGTTCATAAAAAAATCTAAAAATAGTCGATAGCAGCTGATTGGGCAGTGTAGTTTATGCAAATAATTTTATGGAAGGAACCTTTTGTCAATAAGATAAATTTATTTCTCAAATTCTGTATGCATTTAAACAGGTTCTGACCAGTTTGGTCAATTTTGATAAATCACACGTTCATAAAATTTCTCTTGTGTAATTTGTTGCTATATCCATTCAGAACATTGCACTCGGCATTTTCCATTGCATCATTAGAGAAACAAATTCTACCATTTTACCTAGTTGGTTACAATATTTATCCTCTCTGTATAGTTAAGTTTTCAAATTTAAAAAAGTGCTCTATTAACTTTTCATTTTAAATTTTGAAATTTTAACAATCTCGAGTGGTTTTAAAAATATTGTACTCAAGGGGGTTGTAGGGTAGAATGAAAAAAGTGGATGCAGGGAAAATGTCAAAGAGACAACAATCTACCAACACAAATATTCAAAAGCTATCTACACAGTTTCATGAAATCAGCTCATCCACTACACCTACAATTTTGATTCCAACATCTAATAATATCTAAATAGCTTTGAATAGATTTAATCATACTAGTTGCACTTGTACGAACGAGGAAGTATTTTCGCAATAAATATGTAATTCCAATTCCTTAACATCATTTTTAACAAGTTTCATCATTGTGTGATTTCAGCATGCCAGGATTACTACAGTGAGAATTATGTAGAAGTATTAACCACTCTGGCCATTGACCACACTGATATGACCAGTAGATTGAAGGCTCTGCATTGTCATTTGTTTGGTTTAGCATTGTCTAAGTTGGTAAGTTGACATTCAGGTATTTTTATGGTGACATTCTGAAATATGAAATCAATAATTATTCCCTCCCTCCATAGGAAAGGGTATACTTGTTTGTGTGTTTCTATTTATCCATCTTTCCTTTTTCTGTGAAGAAAACTGTAATGAGGTGATAATTACTGTATCACTCTTTTTACTCTACACACATAACATGAAAATGTACGTATCACTTTTTTTGCTTTACACACATAATACACATAACATGAAAATAATATGTATCATTCTTTTTGCTCTACACACATGCACATAACATGAAAATATATATATATCAAGGATCCAGAAATTTTTCCAGACAATTTCTGTCATTTTGAGATTTTTGAAAAGTTGGTGCCCCTTTTCAAATTGTCGATATCAACTTGACTATATTCATAGCATCAACGAACATGACCGGAACTTGTATTGCTGTTTCATTGCATTTACTAAGTAAATGTCTTACCATATTACCATGAAGGACAGTTTAGGGAAGGCAACAGTCTAAAATTGAAATGATTTTAATGACTCAAAATGGTTAATTTCTCAGACATTGCTTACGTTTCTTTCGATTTGACAAAAGTTAAAACCGGAAGTTTGCGATATTTTAAAGTACGAATAATTCCGGATTCATTTCCGGGATTTGTTGTGTTTATCAAATTGACAGGAAATCACCGGCTTTTTTATTTTATTACCTTTAAAAGTGTTTGAATATAACAGATAATAGTTGCACTCGTTTAATTTAGCATGAAATCAATTTACATTTTACGATTAAATATTAAATTTGCTGAAGACAATTTCAAGCATGCGTATTACATAGTAAATAAAGCACATGTGTTACTCATGAAAAAATACTTTTTTCTACGTAAATTTAGATTTAATTTTTAAATCAGAATTGATGACTATCTTTGATGAAAAGTAAATAAATAATGAATACACTTGTCAGGGAACTTTAATGTTTTAAAGATATTATTCTGAGCTTGTGATCACTGTCAGGTGTGAATTAAAACCACAGGTAAAAAGTGATAAGCGATCATTAGCCAATGTTTCCCGGAGGCATTGATATAGATATTAGGAGGGCCTTCAGGATTATCAAACTACTGTAGTGGCAGTTTTATTACAGGAAAGGGATTATAAGCAAAAACAAGTGATCACAAGTGCAAAATGGCGATTAAGAAATCCGATTTCAAACATTGAGTCAATGAAATGACCGAAATTACTTCTGTAAAAAAATAAAATTTGTCCTAAATCCCAATTACTCGTTTAGGACAAATAGTTTCATCTTAGGACATGACTGGCAAATATGACCGTTTCCAGACCCTTGATATATATCACTTTTTTTGTTACACACACATACACATAACTTGGAAATATGTGTATCACTCTTTTGCTGTACACACATATACACATGCAAATATTTGTATGACTATAATTACTGTACACACAATTTTATTGGGGTCTATTAATGTCTTTAACTTTAAAATCAATATGAAAATAAGGAGATGTGATATGATTGTCAATGAGACAACTATCATCCAGAGACCAAATGACGTAGATGCAAGAAGCTTAAGATCACTGTTAGTCCTTTAACAATGAGCAAAATTGATACTGTATAGCAAGCTACACCTGCATAAAAGACCCCCACATAATAAAATGTCAAACAATTCAAACAAGAAAACCAACAGCCCGACTTATCATAATACAAAATACTAAAAATAAATATGACAGACAGCCATCAAGGACAACCATTGAATTACAGACTCCTAACTTAAAGACTGGCTCATACAGAATGTGGCTGGGTTAAACATGTTTGTGTGTGCTGAATCCTCCCATTAACATTTCTTTTTAACCCAAAAACATGTCTGTTCTTAATGTATACAATTGTATAACTTTTAACTTCAGTTTCATGCTACTTCAATTTCAGGAGAAGCACCAGTGTGCAATACAGAAGTTCAGGGAGGCATTAGAACATGATTTCTCTTTCCTACTACCACTGTATAACATATCTCTAGAATACAGATCCCTAGGGATGACACTGGCTGAGTTAGAATCTCTTAATCTGTTGTCAACAGTGAGTATACCATACATACCATATATAAAAAATAGTTGATTTCTATGGAAGACTCTCGATAGTTTTAATTACTGTAAATTCAGAAATTATTGAGAGGTTTTTAGTATACATTGTAAAAAATGGGACTGGGTGAATATCGCAATAATAAGAATTCTGAATTCTTATATATACAGTTAGCTCTCGTTGTCTCGAACTCGGTTGACTCGAAATTTCGGATGACTCGAAGTTTACTTGTGGTCTCAAACTTTGTTTCATATAAATATATGTAATTCGACTCCTAATAAGTCGAAATTGGATGAATCGAAATTTCGGTTGACTCAAACTAAATTTACGGTCCAAAGGTTAACAAAAGCATTCAAAATTCATTATTTATCTCAATCTAATACACATATGTCAAAACATGACCTCAGGGATTTAAATAGATTGAAGAGTTAATCTGACAATACACATGTAATTAAATTTCCGGTCACTGACCACTGAATCGGTTTATGACATTCTTTTTCCACGAGTGTTTACCTCATATTATCTTTGATCACCATGATAAATAATTAGTGATGCATTGTTATAGTTTATGAAAAATTATTTAAAATGTTTTAAAAACAATTAACTGTAATCATACTCTAATGAGCTTGGTTGTGTATAAAGTAAGGATTAAGACTTCCATTGGTGATCAACTCAAAACTACTCAATCAGCGTCTTTAATCTTTTTGTATTTTCTCTTGCAGAAAAAGATTGAAATGAAAGAAAATGAAAAATCTAAAAATCTCTTGTATACGAGAATGAACAATTTTGTCAACTTTAGATAACGCTAAGATTGTTTGGAAATTACTCTCTCGGCTAAAATCCACAGTAAAAAATTGTAACTGTACAAAGAAATAAATGAGGGACGAAAACTTAAAATGTTATTATAGTAATGAAAGACCATAACATACAAATACATAGATTTGAGACCAGCATATCGATCCCCTACCCATATTCATCCGGATTTATTTTAGCCTTATCAAGCTAAGCAAGAGTTGTGTCCCTTGGTCTGTCAAACTTCTGGTTTTCGTTTGAGTCAAACTATGGGTTTCTCTGGTCTGGCTAACTTGGAGATAATGAGAGTAGACTGTATATATTTGTATGCACCTTTTCCTGTAATCGCAATGATTATTCTCACATTTTGGTCTGGCATGACGAAATTGCAATAATCATGATAATAAATACATGCAATCATTTCCTAATTTACATGAATCTTAGTTTAATCTGTAAGTAGTTCCTTGTGGATCTTGTATTAAGTATCATATTTCAGGATTTCATATTGAAGATATTAGTTATGGATATTTGCTAGACACAAGTTCAATGAGGTTGAACATCATTGTTCTAACCTGTACATTGGTACACTTTCATGGCATTCATAATTAGTGGATGGGAAAAATCTATCTCAGGAAATTAGCAACATTTTTATGAAATGGTCATATATTGCTGTATCAAGAGTAGCATCGATAAAGTAAATGATATGGTGAATAATAACATATTTGTTTACGAAAACATTCGGTTCTGCATATGTAATAGCTGCAGAATTGCCCTAGGCATATTTCTGCTCTGTTCTTAAAGATGTCATAGGCGTTCTTAAAAGCATGCAATAGCTGACGAGGAAGATGCTCATGTTGTCAAAGTTGAAACTGAACATGGGGACATTGACATTATAATATTCATGAACTATATCGTGTATAAAAATACAAACTGTTGGAGAGCATAGTATTTTCGTTGTAATAATCATGATAATGAAAATATTTCAGTGGAGAAAACAAAAATGTATGTATCTTGCCAGAGACTTAATTAAATTTTTCTGCTTTATTAAGCATTTGTTAAATATGTGATAAATAGATTATAATATATCCTTTTCCATATCACCCCTAGTATCATCTCTCGACCCATGTGAGCCCTTGAGTTGCGCAATGGGCTGATATAGGAGTATCTGGATGATACCCTGGCCGATATTGAAAATGACATGATTATAGTCTATAGTTACAGCAATTTTCTATTGACAGGCACTACAGAATGCTGATATTAAACCAACAGATTACAGTCAGGACATGTTTACACAGATAACGCATGAGACAAATGGAGAAGTAACATTGTGTCAAGTCCTGTATACACTAGCATGTAGATGTTCACAGCTAAATATGTGAGTCTTCTTGGGATAAAATAAGTTTTTCATTTTGCAGGTCATTATTCAAACTTGGGTAATGTTGAGTAGTATTATTGAAAAGAAAGGATACGGGGTGTCCATCCATGACACAAAATCAGTCCATGCACAGCAAAAAACACAAAAAGCAAAGGAACAGCTCTTTTATTGCTGTTCTCCATCTCTAAAGTCACAATGAGGCCTTCAACATGGAGCAAAAACTCTAACCTCTCTGAAAGTTTAAGACTGCTCCTAGCACTGGTTTAAGTGGAATTCTTTTCAAACAGACGATCACACCACAACTGAATTAAAGAACAAAGCCATGGAGTAATATCAATAAAAGAAATCTAGCAAAGAAATCAAACATTTAGTTTGTTTATTTCTGTGAATTTATTGGTTTTATCTGGTATTGCCTTAAGATTATTAAATGACCAATGTTTTTGACTAGGTAGACTTTAGAATAAATGATTAATGAAATAAATATTGGTATATTTAGGTGTCTGAGGAACTAATTATTCATTTATATTAGCTTTAAATTCAATGGATTAGTTTATATAGTAATTTACTTTTAAAAAAGTATATTAGCTTTAAATTCAATGGATTAGTTTATATAGTAATTTACTTTTAAAAAAGTATATTAGCTTTAAATTCAATGGATTAGTTTATATAGTAATTTAGTTTTAAAAAGTAAATGTGTACCTATCAAAAGTCAAATTAGTCCCTTATTTGTGTTTCACAGTCCTCTTAGGTTTAAAAACATAAAATTCTAACTTTCTAGAATGTTTGTGTATAGAATGAAGTTGTGCATCTCTCTTTGTATGTTCATTTTCGTAAGTTTTGCACAAGATGGTAAAACTCAGTGTTCCAATTTTGTGTAATAAACTACTTCCCAAAACCTTTAAACTTACTACAATATTTGTGTATTGACAGTAGTTCTGCATCTACTGGTATTTATTTGTAGATAAATTTCAGTGAAATTCTTGAATATAGAGAATACTCATATTTTGTAAAGATTTGTCCTGTTATACATAATTCACTTTGGATATTGTAGTTTGCATTGGTTTTGGAAAAGGAGAAGGTCTGGTAATGGCTTATTTCGGCCTAAAATTTGAAATACATCTGATGAAAGATTTTGGACATTTTTTCAACACATTAGTGTCTACTTCAGTCGATTCAGTTAGTTTATGTTAAAGATTTTATCATTAAACACGATACAATTCAAGCCTAAATATGAAAAATCTATCAAATATGTCATAAAACGTCACTTTTCAGAATGTTTTTGTCTAAAATGGAAGTGGCCACATTCGTGTTCAGTCTTGACCTTTATCTATGTCAGGTATTATCATTAAATACAACATATATTTAAATATTAAGACTGAAAACAAGTGTGGCCACTTCCATTTTAGACAAAAAACGTCTGGAAAATAGCACAAAGGCTAAAATTGTGAAGATTTCAGTATTTTTGCATGAAATAATGATGCTAGTACCTGATGTATATCCACTGTATTGTAAAAAAACAGCCCATATTTATGTAACAAAAGTATTCTTCTTTCCAATAAATAGCTAAAAGTTTACATTTCTAACAACTTTATAAAACACTATATTTGGGGCCAAAAAGGGGTCTTACTAGGGAGCCTACTCCTTTGTATAAATCAAAAAGTAAAATAAAATACTGAAATTCCAAGGAAAATTCAAAACGGAAAGTCCTTTATCAAATGGCAAAATCGAAAGCTCAAACACATCAAACGAATGGAAAACAACAGTCATATTCCTGACTTGGTACAGGCATTTCCTTATATAGAAAATGGTGGATTAAACCTGGTTTTTTTTCTAGCTAAACCTCTCACTTGTATGACAGTGGCATAGATACCACTTTTCCTACTGGTGAAGAAAAAGATTCTTCTTAAAGAATATGAAATGCTAGTGTTATTATCATGTATAGGGCCTGAAAATTGCAAAAGTCTTTAATAATACAATCCAGCCATTAGAGTATTTAACCAATTTTTTCAATATATTTCTGTTAGTTTCATTGATGGGGATTGTTTTTTTACACATTCAACGGTAAAAAGTTGAGAAAACAATTTATCTGGAGATGGAGTTCTTTATATCATAATTTTGCTGATGAACTGTAACCTGTACTGTAGTGGTGGCAGGCTGAAATGATCTGTGCAATCAGGTCTTGTCAAGTTACTCAAACCACTCGTTGAAGAGCCGCTAGATAATAAATATTAATTTACATTTTTGTTAATTGTAGGTACGAAGATGCTTCCCAAAGATATCTGGATTTGCTTGTGTACTTAAATGACACCAGTACTATACAAGTAAAGTAAAATGTTTATTAAAAAACAGAATTTAGGGGAACTAATTGTTTGAATACAAATCTCTGTAAGAAACCACCCACTATACATGGTCCACAAGGAGTTGTTGCAAAGGCTTTTTTTACATGCAGACAATACTTCTACAGTAGGCTGCTCATCATCATCCTGAATAACATGAAATATTTGCCACTGGACATTAGTAAGAAACAATCAATATATGAGGCATTTGATTAAATGTTCACATTGCAACCAGGTGTTGTCCTAAATATGCATGACACATTTGCCACTAGATGTTAAACAAGCAACAATCAATCATAGCAACCAGATTTGGGTGCAATTTTATACAATCTGCACAGCAAAAATAAAGCCACTTCTAAATTGGTTTTGTAGCTAAAAGAGAAAAGACTAGGTAAACCTGTCTTTATTCCCCAGTGGCCAACCTTGCGAGACCCTCATGGGTAGTAAAGGTTGTTAAACAACCCCTAGCAGTCTTCAAGATAAACTTTTAAATCTACAGGCCCGAAGCTGAATTTTATGAAAAAATTAGTTAGATTCTATTGGCTTGAAGAGATGATTTTTCCAGGCCCAACAGCATTTTTACATGCCTGGGATGGTGGGCCTGTGGTTGAGGGTGAAGACTGCCCTAGTAGTATTCCACAGTCAACCATTTTGGTGAAGGTTATGAGTGAGACCTGTCGCTGCTTTGTCTGAAAGACAGTTATTGCTGGTTCTGTTCAGTAGAGCATGTCAGTGACACAACCAAAGTCAGGGGAAAATTGTTCAGTAGAGCATGTCAGTGACACAACCAAAATCAGGAAAAACTGTTTAGATTCCTATTAAAATAACAAATTAACAATAAATTGTTTCTTAAAATGTCTTTTGTAATTTCAAATTACCAAAATAATTATAAATGTGAACAAAATATCATTTCTACTTATCAGTTAAGAGATATGAAGTTATAACTCTATTTTTAATTAAATTCAAGTAATTACTTAAAATGAAATACACATCAGGTGATAAATACATTTAAAATAAAAAATCAGCGTTAAATTTTAGATAAAGTAAGCAGATTTCAAATTTCACAAATTTCAAGAAAAGAAGTAATAAAAGAGAACAAGTTTGGCATTTCTATATGATCTAGGGGAGGTAATTCACATTAAAATTTAAAATATTCTCAATTTGCCTTTTGCTGTGTAAATGCAATGGCAAATTAATCTCACTTTCAGGGATATACGAGAAAAAGTACAAGCGCACCATGGAAAAGAGAAAGCAGGTCAAATTATAATGTCCATATAAACCTTAATGCAGTATTGTGGAATACAGCATTCAAGGAACATGCAAGCCTATCCCCAGTGTGATTTCTACACTGGGACATGAATGTTGAAGAAATAAGAGGATATGGCTCCAGAGAACAGATGAAATGTACACATTGTATATATTGTTCTTAATTTTTTTCATTGTACAAAGAAATATTTTTCAAACAAACCAGGCAGAAAAGCAGAGAAGGTTAATGTAAGACTTATTGTTGGAATGAGTAAAACACCTATCGCAGCAGCAGGTTACTACAAGTTTGTCACCACCATCAGCTCGAGGTATTCAGAATATGTGCAACAAAATACTCCCTGAAATAGAAGAAAAAACAGAGTGATATGAAAATGAGGCAAGAAAGATTCAAAAATGCAAAGACAAAATTCACATGGAATGTACAATTGCAACTAAAAATTGTATTCTGGAGCGGGAAACACACGTTTTCAACCTAACACTGAAGTTGTATATAGCTTGGCAGAAAGAATTACACAGCAACATGATATAATTGGTTTAGTTGTACATAATAAACTAAAGGGTAAACACCTGAGACAATCAGGTAAGCCCTTATTATTGGGTAAAGACTGTACTGCAACAATTCTGTAAAAAAAAGTATTATAGATGAAAAAACATGGGCAAAAGAGTTGCTGCAAGAGCTAAAGTCATCAAATGACATGGAAGTCCAATACCTTACAACAGACCCAGACAGTGGTGCTTATCAAGCAGCAGATGAATTACACATAGATGGCATAACAAAGACTAAACCTTTTCACCAGTTTGTTACTAGACACACATCAAAGAACTGCACTCTTTTCATAAAGAAAAATAACAGCCTATTTGAGAATTTGAACAGAAATATGGCTTAATAAAGAACTTAGATTCAAAACAAACATCTTTTCGAAATGTGTAACTGTGAAATCTGTAAAGCTTTTGCAAAGTTTGGAAATAAAATAGATTTAATACACAACAAATTTAACTTTGCTGCTGATGCAATTGTTGATTGCTATCAAGATTGGAATTTGAAATGTTCATAGCACTCTTGCTTATGCACAGGGGACAATTGGATAAGAAAAAGTGCTTTGCTCATGTTGCTGGGTTAAAAAAAATTGGAATCAATTCTTGGCTTTCTCCTTGGATGGGTGAATTACAGAATGTGGCCCGACTCATTCTACAGCACACACTCAATATAGGTGCTGCAATCTCCATATATCTCTTTGTTCAATTGGTGCAATAAAAAATAGTCCTCTAAGCTGTGAAATATTTGTGAAAACCTCACAAAAATAAGAAATTTTAAATTGTAAGAAAACTCTCGATCCATCTGTGTCATGGGCAGAAAGGCGAGCAATATTGTTTGATATGTACGAAAGACACCAAGATGAGATTTGTTACCAAAAAAATATGCTTTTGTCACCTCCAAAACAGATGATGGGATATGATGACCACCCTTATCACAAGTCAGCAAAAAGGGGAAACCATCTAGATAAAGCAGTATAACCTTTCATAAATGGTGGATGTGATTTACAACAAGTTCCTGATTCTGACAGCGTATGTGTTCCTGATTGAGATCTTGTTTTTCAAAAATGAGATGATGTACAATAATACAACATGTTTTTTCACAAAAATGGCTGAAATTCTTGTTCTTCAAGAACTATGTATTTAGGAATTTCAAGTGAATCATTTTTGAAAATCTATGAATTCTCTCTTTAATTCTTTCACCAGAAGGTTATTTAACATCAGTATACCCATAGTCAGATGTATAAGTTGCATCAGTCCATACTATAAACCCTCTCTCATTGTATGAAGTAACAGATTTATACAATAATTTTGTTTTCTGCTTTTGCTAAAATCCTTCCATAATGTTTGTGAAAAATGCCTGTTTTGAATATTGTATGGGCGTGTTGTGCACAAGGCAGATAATAGAAAAACAGGGCTTCACTGCTGCTTGAGTCCAGTCTTGAAAGTGCTTTCATTTGTATAATTCTTGCCAGATTTTTATGAAAGTTATATCAGAGGTTTACAAATGTATATTAGAAATGGACAATTTTGACAATCAATGCTGATCAATTATTTTTAAATGAGTTATGTCCCTTCAAAATATTAATTATTTAGAAAATGGTATTGTAAGCACTCTCAAGTGTACAGTTCTTGCCAAATTTTTAGCAAACTTACATGTATATCCAGTTTATATCAGCACTGCTTGGGACAAGTTCGAAAATCAGTGCCGATCAACTTTAAAAAAAAAAAAAGAAGAGTTATGCCCCTTACAAATATTTGTTTTCTGGTGCTCTCAAATTTGCAAACCATATTTTTATCAAACCTTTAAAGGTTTATATCAGCCTACAAAAATCAGTGCTGATCAACTATCTTAAAAAGAGTTATGTCCCTTGGAAATATTTATTATATGGAAAATCGCATTGTAAGGGCTTTCAAGTCTACATTTTTTTGAGATATTAATAAAAAAAATTTAGAACAAAAAAAAATATTTTTTTTAGTTATTATTGCTCTTGACCAGATAAAATGTGTGCAACACAAGGGAAATTAGAACTCTGTTCTTTTATTATTTATATTTTAGTAAGCTTGATTCTGTATCTATACTTCTAAAATAACGAGGTCCAATTTGTTAGCCAACATGACACAAAAACAACGAATCAAAGAATTCAACTGTATATATAACTCAGGGCTCACGCTAACAGGCGACTGGGGCGACAAAGTTGCTCTCCCGTCCGTCACTTCGCTTTGCCCGACCGTCAAAAGCGAAATCTAGTCGCCCTGTTGTTCAAGATACTCGCTTTCAGGGCTCACACTACTTCAGAATCAAAGGGAGAAGTGACTTCTCTTTTTGAAATTGAGAGGGAGAAGTGGTGAGATTTGAAAGAGAAGTGCTCGTTCTTATTTTTTTTATATTGTTCAATTTGTACCTTGGTATACAATTAAAGTAACAGTTTAAATTCAAAGTTGTTTAATTTTATCATATCTAGTTGAACAATCATATTAGTCCTCTTATCAGGAAAAAACAATTAAATATCTGGCAATAATAAAAAAGATTATCAAAAAGGAAAAGAAAGTTGTTATATCAATTAAAATTCAATTAAAAAAGTTATTAACTGATATAGGACAATGGTGTTGATTAGAAATTACACCATTCCAGGCCCTTTTGTTTTCCACATAATTAATATTACCAATAATTAACAAGTTCTGGGTCGAATCCAATACAGATACCAATAGTATATGTCACATGTAGTTTCCGGTTGTAGTTCTTCCTTTATTCTTCCCTCCACTTTCTGGAGTACCACTACTATATTGTAGTAAGAAAACCATGACGGGTTCAAACAGAAAGATTTTAAAAGCAGAGAAAACTGTGCACCTTATGATCAGCATGACTTTATCAAATGACAATATGAATACTGAAAATCCAGGCTAAAAAATAAGGCATAGGTACTTTATTCAGTCACAGACCAACGATGTCGCGGATGTGTTCTAGTGTTATATTAAAATTCCATTACACCTTTGTTTGATATGACAATTGATAATTATATTCTGATAATATTGATATGACAATTGGTATTTATATTCTGATAATATAATTACTGGTATCCATTTTTACTTTACAAATTTGAATAAAATGTATTACCAATACATGTACCATAATGAATTTAACAATTGGAGTGAGAAAAACAAGTTTTTTTTTATTTAAATGAAAATGGGACAGGAACATTACCTCTGTGATTAAACTTTACTAAAAAAGTTTTTTACACATATATGGGCAAATGACTTATGAACTGTATAATGAAAAAAAACATATATGAATTATCCAATTATCACATTTATGTTAGAAATATATTTTTAAACTCATATTTTATTTTTTGAATGTAATATTCTGCTGCTACCACATTATTATTGTGAATTGAATTGTGAATCTATAGAACATAATTCTAGCTTCTAGTAATTCCTGATTGAGCTTTGATTAAAGTGAAATTAGCAAAAGATTTACCCGCTTAAATTCAATTTTATATAAAACATTTAAAATATAGTGATAATTTAACCTTAATGGATTGTTTTTGATTAGTTATTGTTTTTACATTTATATTGACTTTTTATAAATTGGATCATTGATTTTTTTTCTGCAGATTTCTGGAAATAGTTTGGTTACAGTTCCCAGGATTCAAAGCATTCATCTTGAAGCTATTCATTGTCTCCATGAGGCTAAAAATTATAATGACTGTGTAGCAGTTTGTGATCAAGTACTGAGTTGTCTCCCCTCTGGATCCCAGAACTCATCATTCAGCTTCCATAACCAATCAGAAAATGATCAGATGTCATGTGACACAAGTTTAACTGGAATTGTTAATATCAGTGACATAGAACCTGATACACTTGAGAGTGCTAGTTTGCAAGAAGGCAGCAAGAGAAAAAGACTAAATTCTGAAGAATCAAAAACAAGAGAAACAGGGTGGGACAGTGATGTTTTAGTTCTTTTATACAAAGCTGATTGTTTTGTGTTTCTAGAAAAAATTGAAACAGCTTTGCAGTGCTTAGACAAGTAAGTTTCTTTCAGCCTACACCATTATAGACAAACTGATATAAAATCTTGATTCTTTATTTTTTATCATGTCTATAGGAATTTAAAATTTGCTCTCATTACATCAGGATATGGCTAGGTACATTATATCTGTCATATGTGATGGAGATCACACTGTTTCTCTAATTCTTCGTCAGTTTATCCCTTTCTGCACCCATTGTATAAAAAAAATTTAATCAATGTGTGGTTCGTTTGATCTCAGTTCTTCATGGGTTAAAATCTGATTATGACGTCGAATTTTCTTGCTCTCCTCTGAATTTCCTATTGTGACGGCATGAAAAAAGGCGACCATGCCTGATGACGTCACATAGAAAGAACACATCTTCTTGCAGATCATTCGAAAAGAAGGAATAAATTTGCCTGTGTATTGTTTGAAAATCATTAGAGAAACAGATTCCACCACCAAATCTTGTGTAATACGATATTTATCCACTCTTGACAGTTAAATTTTAAATATTTAAAACGCTCGGCGAGCCTCGCGTTTTAAATTTGAAAATTTAACTTTCTCGAGTGGATAAATATCGTATCACACTCGATGCAGTGGTAGATTCTATATTTAGTTCATGGATTTTTTTCAACTGTAGCTGATAATGGCAAGAACTGATAGAAGTGACTATGGGTTTTGTATTCATAAATTTCAATGATTTTATTTCTTTTCCAAAATCATCCATGACATGTGTTTTACTCCAGTCACTATTGTACATGTGTATCTGTCTTTGTACATGTGTATCTGTCTTTGTATGTGTGTATCTGTCTTTGTACATGTGTATCTGTCTTTATACATGTGTATCTGTCTTTGTATGTGTGTATCTGTCTGCAATGAGACAGACTGCCCTGCAGTCATGTGATTGTATAGAACCTGAGCCTGTTAAACTCCATCAGATATTTTTCAAAAAGTGGCCAAAGATACCAAATTCTAAACTCATAAATCAAAGAAAACTGTCATTGCTATGGCAAAAAAAATGAAAAACTTTGAAAAGACAAAAAATTCTCAAAAAAACTATATAGAAACTAAAGATTGAGCAACACCAATCCCACTGTGCTGCAAGAGTGGGGCAGTTTGTGTTTTTTTTAAATTCTTGGTATAAAAAAACTGTCAATATGAAGAGAGCTTGGTCTGTATTTTTTTTTATGAAGAATTCTTTTTATGTTAAATACCAGATTAGTGTAGTACAAGGTTGTGGAAATATTTAGTAACAATATGCATGAAAAAACTATTCAGGAAAAAATGATTTTCAAGAAAGTAACTGTCAAAAAATATTTATAAGAAAAAACAATTTCCGCAATGTAGGGGTCAATGACTATTTATTAACAAAAACTATTTCCAGTTCCTGATAATAGAATGACCAGCTAATGAATAGTCATTTGAAAGAAAAGACTAGGTTATGAATATTCATGTGAAAATGCTTACCAGGTAATGAATATTTATAGAATAACTAATCGAAGAATTCAAATATAGAAAAATAATCAACGAGTGTCCGAACAACACATTAATTCACGAATGACCATAGTTAATTATCAGTGTTGTTTGGTCACAAATTGACTATTTTTTAATATTTGAATTCTTTGATTTTTAGTTATTCTTTTTATTACATTGAAAATTGGATTTTTTGTGGAAATAATAGTAAAATATGCAAGGAACTATATCTTTTTCTATGCATTCACAATTTGCTTTGATGCAACGTCATCAATAACATCTTGAAAACAGCTATTGTTGTATGACGTCAGAGGAGTGAAATTATTGAGTTTATTTCACATGTGAAATTATAGGTTTTTATTTCACTGGGAAATCACGGTAATTCATTGCAACCAATGTAATAATCATCCATATAAATGAAACTAGTTTTGATGTTTTTTTGCAGGTGTATTGATAAGATTCCATTCAGTGTTGATTTACAAAAAGGAACCAGAGCTCAACAACAAATTAAACGCCGAAGGTTAGATTCTTGTGGCGATGATAGTTCACAACTCAAGGGGACAGAATCTGTCAATGACCTTCAGAAATTAGCATCCCCTGTATATTGTCATTTAGGGGTTGCTGTGGCAACCAGAGGTCAAAATAAAGATGCCTTACATTTTCTCAGGATTGGACTACGTCTTGATCCAGGTATGTAAAAAGTAACTTTCTTCATTGACACTTTTTATTATCACCTATCTTTTTGTTATAGCTTGAACTACATGTACTACTATCTGCTATATGGTATCAGTTTTTAATGCCCTGCCTGCAGCAGAAGGGTGGCATTATGTTTTATGGTCTGTGTGTCCCTTCATTAGTCTGTCCTGTGTCAGGTAAAAGTTACCATGAAGTTGTGGACATATGAACTTGAAACTTTTGATTTTTAGCTTAAACCCTATTTAAGGTGGTACCAAACACCTTGACTAAAATTTATTTGGCTCGTTCAATTTTCAAAAATTTTGACAAAATATTTACTTTTACCCTGAGACAAAAATATAAAAATTTCAAAAAACTTAAACCACACACTTTATCAGAAAAATTTCATTGGATGTAAAGCAGTTTGACAAACACTCATTTTGAGCATTGAGAAGCTTAATATTTCCTTAACAACAGACATGATAGAACATGATTAAAACGTTCAGCTGATTTTTATAGAGTTATCTCCCTGTAGTGTTATGTACCACCTTAAGCAACTTCATAGTGATTTATATAATTATGTGACTTTCTAACTTTGTATATAAATACTTATAACAGAATTACATACATGTATTTGCAAGATTAAAGATTTCCATTACTTTACTCCTGGTGAAAGTCATTTAAATTAATTGCTTAAGAAAATTTTTGGGTTTACAGTAGAGAGTCATTTTTGCAGGGATTCCCTGAAAATTCACTTTTGAAATATTGATTGATAATGTAGCAAACTGCTATGACAACAATATATGTTTAGTCAAAAATTTCTGTAAAATTAACCTTTTTCAAATTTAAAGTGATTGAAAATAGATATGAAATTTTCTAAGGGCTATTCCAGAAAAAATGTATTTGAGTTGGGGTTGGAAGGCACTTTATATTAATAATATGAGGGTGATGGGTATCAGAATAACTTTTCACACTAGAATGCACTATGATTCTCAATTACAATTGTCTGGGTGGCGGATGCTGATACATGTACAAATTGCATTCTAACCCCTCCATACATTTTTTTCTGGAATATCCCTAATAAAGAGTAATGATGGTCCACTTTAAAAATGAGAATTAGATATACATTTTATCAGATTTTTGTCTTCTGAAGTAATATTGAAATATTTCCCTTGATTTTATAAAATATTTTTTCTCAAGTAATACATGGTAATGAGATAATATAATCTGTATCTCTTCTTAACAATGACTTGTTTATTTTGTAGGAAATTTAGATGCCCTGTATAACCATGCAGTAGTGTTGTGGTCAGACAACAAAAGACAAGCTTCTGTTGACTGGTGTCAAGGTCGTGACATTGAGACAGCTTCAGACAGTTTTCATTTGTCAGGCTTACTCCGACAGAAACAAAACAAGTTGAGGTGAGTTAAATATTAAACATTTCAAATTATATACTAGCTCAGTTTCTATAACGAGACAGTTTCAGACAGTTCTCATTTGTCAGGTTTACTAATTATATATATAAGACAGAAACAAAACAAGTTGAGATGAGATATATGTAAAACATCTTGAAATGATTTACTAGCTCAATCTCTATACCTAGATCTTGATATATTGTCTGGTCCTGACTTTATCCTGTAAATCTATCAGGGATCACTACAGCCTAATCAAGAGTAGAGGTCTTCTGCCCATTATTTTCTCAGTCCTACCCTTAATTTTTTTTCTCAACACCTCTCTTGATTTTTAAGTTCCGTTTTAGATTTAAAAAGTAAATTGAATATAAGGGCTGTTATATTGAAAAGTTCAGCTTCATTTACTATAGCATATATAGGGTGTACATGCATTACAGAAACTCTACATAATGATGGCTTTAACATTTCCAATCAAAATTGGATCAAGTTAAATTTAGTGGCTATTCGTGCACCACAAGTGCAAATTTTTTTTTTTGCGATACCTGAATCTCTGGTAGCACTATATATAGATATCATCTTCTTAAACCTCAACTTTTTTCTTCTAATTTCTTTTAACTGTCCCCCATCAACTTCTGCTTTTGAATTGCTCATCTTATTTTTGTGTCGTCTCACATCGAAGCTATAGCAACATGTACACACAGGGATATATCTTCTTGTTGTCCACAATCTGCAACTCTTTGAAAGCTGCTGGACTGAATTCAACTAAACTTGCAAAGATTTTTCTACAGGATATTAAGTTTGCACTTGCAATTAAAATTTTTGACCTGGGTAACCTTCAAATTGCTGAAGATTGGTTATGCGTGAGTTAAGCATATTCACTTATTAAAAAGACAAGAATTTCAACATTGAAAGTGAAACAAGGTAGCTACCAGGAAGAACCATTTCATTGACTTATTTTGCCAACAAAAATCATTCTTATACAGGTTAAAGGATGATTTACATTTTTTATACCCCTGCTTTAAAAAACGTCCTGTCAGTCCATCCGTCAGTCAGTCCATCAGTCCCATGAATATTTTTGTCGCATTTTTCTCAGGAACTACTTTACAAGGATTTCTGAAATTTGGTTTCAGGGTTTATATAAGTAAGTTACACCGTGTGATGCGTTTTCAGATTCATCACTCAACAACTTCCTGTTTACTGAACACTTGTATTATTTTACACATGATAGCCAAGTTGAAAATTTTCGTCACATTTTTCTCAGGAACTACTGACAAGGATTTCTGAAATTTGGTTTCAGGGTTTATATAAGTAAGTTACACCGAGTGATGCGTTTTCAGATTCATCACTCAACAACTTCCTGTTTACCGAAATATTTCGGCGGGGGTATCATCAGTGAGCAGTAGCTCACAGTTTTAGTTGTTTTTTTTTAAATCTAAGAAATAAAAACAAACAGATTGTGAAAAATTATCATTATACAATTGCATGTGCTTATCTGTGTATTTATGTTTCTATTTATGTCTAAATCAGATCATGTAACTAATTGGCATTCTTTCAGAGGTCATCTTGACAGTTAATTAGATACTGTCTAGTATAAAATACGCACAAAATGCTGAAATTTTATAATGAGTTCATGCATTTTTGTCTCGCCTTGGCGGAGTCAAAAAGCTGTGTCAACAATGTATAAGTTTGTGACTAGGTCTAGTTTATGGTGACCCACTAGTGGTAGGTCAATGGTATTTGGTATGCAGTTGTATTAGCATTGACACATCTCATTAGTATTGAGATTATTTGGCCCCACCCCCTCAGTCATGGTCTATTGATTTTCAAACTTTGCTTAGTTTACATGTATTAGTTTGTGATTAGGTCAGTTTATGGGGAACCATTAGTGGTAGGTCAATGATATTTAGTATACAGTTGTGTAAATATTTGCACATCACATTTCCATGGAGAGTATTTGGCCCGCCCCCTCAGTCATGGTCTATTGACTTTTAAACTTTTGTTTAGTTTACATATATATTAGTTTGTGATTAGGTCAGTTTATGGGGAACCACTAGTGATAGGTCAATGATATTTGGCATGTAGTTGTATAAGCATTGGCACATCTCATTTCCATAGAAATTATTTGGCCCTGCCCCTCAGTCATGGTTCATTGACTTTGAATATTTTTCATAACTTACATGTTAAAGTATTGCTATTTTAATTTCAACGCTTGCATTTTACTATCAAAATAACAAAAAGACAAGACATATCTCTGTGTTAACAGTTTTTTAATCGTTTGTTTTGCATTTTTTTTAATTTGGATATATACGTATTTAGTATGTTATAAATCAAGTATGAGAATTTGAGTCTAATCAGCATGATCATTGAACATGAATTTGACAGCTAATGCCCAGTTAAATTCATTTACAACTTAATGTTTGAAAATTATTTAAAGCTTGACATATTTTTTATAACAGTTGTGAATGAATTTGACAGAAACTCTTAAAAGGTCTACCAACTTGACAGAATTATTAAAAAAAACAAAGAAATTAAGATATGATAAATGAGAAAACTGCTGAAAAAATTATGCATTTTTTTACTAGTATGGGAGATAACTCTGCCAGCCTTGTCATATAATATAGTATAAACTTATACAATGCTTTTAAACATTTGTTTGCATTTTATAATGAAAGGTAATTGGAGTGATATTGAAAGCATAATCTGTATACATTTTTTGTTTACTTTAATAAGAAATCATTAAAACAAATTAACTTAGAATTGCAACCTTATATTTTACAGTACATAGTAAAGTATAGTTTTATTCAGGCAAATTCAAGCACATATACAAAAAATCACAAGACAAGACAATATGTTATATATATATATATATACTTTTAAAATAGTATCATAATAATTAAAAAACTGCTTAGAAAAAAGCCTGGGATATCCCATAAAAGTTTACATAGTATAGCTTATTTCCATTGGGATCCCTTGTTTGAAAATATATAAAGATAATATTTCAATTTATTGTTAAAATTTGACTTTCACCAAAAAAAAAAGATCAACTGTTTCTTAAAAAACATATAAAAAATCTCCAGTTTCTATATTTCTTGCTGTTATTTTTAATGGTTCTTTAATTGCAGTCTTAAAAGCAGATCTATTTGATATATTTTTTATATTACATGTAAAGTAATATACTGTACAGATAGAGCTTACTGCACCGATTCCTTTTAACAGTATTGAATTACACAACTGTTTGCAGTGTTATTTTTGTCCTGATTTTAATTTAATGAGCTTGATAACAAAAACAGAATAATAAAATGCAATACACTGCTGTGTATCCTGTATCTGCCCAGAAACACAAGTGCAAAGGATTAACAAGGTTATTATGAATCACCTGATATATAACCCAGCCCGAAAATTAGTACTTTAATCATTTCCACAAAAATGTGAAATCTGAAAGGATTATGTCGAATTCAATGGAAGGCATATTTTAAATTCTATTTTAGGTGATTTTTCTGTTTCCTGTATACAGTTTACCTTGTTCATGCATATTCATGTGCTATAACTCGTATATTTATAAAGTGTGGAAAAGGTTAAAAGAAACAAGAATTTTTTAATCGTTTTTTCATAGATTTGCAGTGTTACCATTTGTCATTCACAAATGGTTGGTTGATGTTTGTCAAAGATAACACTTGATTTTTATATGACCTTATGTAAGATGTCAACAACTTTGGAGTAGCTCTTATAGTTTATATACTGTCTTTACATATAGATTCTACCACTGCATCGAGTGTGATACATTATTTATCCACTCAAGACAGTTAAATTTTCAATTTTAAATCGCGAGGCTTGCCGAGCTTTTTAAATATTTAATTAAAATTTAACTGTCGAGAGTGGATAAATATCGTATAATATTGCACAAGATTTAGTGGTGGAATCTGTTTCTCTAATGATTTTTAAATGATATGTAGACAAACTCGAATTCTTCTTTTCAAATGATCTGCAAAAAGATGTGTTCTTTCTATGTGATGTCATCAGACATGGTCACCTTTTTTCATGACCTCACAATAGAAAATTCAGAGGAAAGAAAGAACATTTGATGTCATAATCGAATTTTGACCAATGAAGAACTGAGATCAAAAGAACCACATGTTGATTAAATATAGATCCTACCACTGCATCGAGTTTGATACGATATTTATCCACTCAAGACAGTTAAATTTTCAAATTAAAAACGCGAGGCTTGCCGAGCGTTTTAAATATATAAAATTTAACTGTCGAGAGTGGATAAATATCGTATTACACGAGATTTGGTGGTGGAATTTGTTTCTCTAATGATTTTCAAACAATATGCAGGCAAAATTATTCCGTATTTTCGAATGATCTGCAAAAAGATGTGTTCTTTCTATGTGACGTCATCAGGCATGGTCGCCTTTTTTCATGCCGTCACAATAGGAAATTCAGAGGAAAGCAAGTAAATTCGACGTCATAATCGGATTTTAACCAATGAAGAACTGAGATCAAACGAACCACACCTTGATTAAATTTTTTTAAACAATGGGTGCAGATTCTTAAGGGATAAATTGACGAAGAATTAGAGAAATAAAAATAATCAACAGGTCAGGAAAAGAAAGAATTAGAGAAATATATTTAGAGGGGACTATAACCAGTGTTATTTTACATAGCATGTATAATTATAATTTTTCAACTAAAATCTTATAAATCTTTTCAAAGATAGGACCTATGTTATTCAGAAAGGTGGTTAAGTTTGATTTTTTTTTTCAGGTTAACATACTAATGTTTAGGTTTAGACATCCATTATAATTAAAAGGCAATTTGAGATATACATCAATGAAATAGCAACTTTAATCAAATTCAAATTCAAAATTCAAATTCTTTATTTTCTTAATCACAGGGCCGTTAAAGACAAAAGAAAAACCAAAAGACACCCTCGGGTCAATAAATTGGTCTGAAATAAAAAGACAGCTGTCTATACAATATGTCCAGCTCATATTTGGGTTTGAACA